CCACCTAGCTATGTGTTCTATATCGATAATCCTTGCGTTCGTACATGGATCACAATGTGTTATAATCACCGTCAGGAATTACAGCAGTCTGTGTGGAAATGCATCAATGTGGAAAGCTCAAAACATATCAAAACTCCAGTACCGGCATTCTCAACACTGGAATTGTGCCACAAGAGAAGATATCGGAAATACACTACCAGCCTTCATGATACTGAATTTGATCCCAATGGAGAGAATATTGATACCAAATATCAGCACTATGAAACCAGCTTTCCCATTTTGGGAATTGATTTTCCCCAGAGAAAATAACCTCTGAATCAATCCCCAGCCGAAAATATGAATTCTGTAATATTGTTACTCTCATTAAAAACTTCCCAACACCAAAATCAGCGCCTTGGAAAAACATTGTTACGCCGATGCAAGGCTTGGCGATACAGGAATTGTTTTCCAAGAGAAAACATTGATACTCAATATTCAGACACCGTACTTCCTGATCTTGAAATGTATTCTTCGGAAAGAACATTAGTACTCTGATAGCAGCCTTCTCAACACTAGAATGAATTCCCAGGAGTGCATATAAACACTCAACTACCACTTGTCTCAATATTGGGGTTGATTCCAAGAAGAAAATATTGTTACGCTGATACAAACCTACTTGATCCTGTAATTGTGCCCTAGACGAACATATCGACACTTTGATGTAACTTTCTCGCAACTGGAATTGAACCGCAGGGGAGTATATCAAGGCACTGATACCTACTTTTTCAATACTGAAATGGATCCCCGGGAGAGTATATCAATACTCTGACCAATCTTGCTGATATTGGAATCGATCCGCAGGAGCGTCTACGAATACCAAAAAGTCAACAAAACTCCAATACGTTTTTTTACCAGTACTTGAACTGACAATACCCTGACACAAGCCTTTTGAAGACCAGAATCCATTTCCAGATAAAATATCAACACTGAAATATCGATATTCCGATACCAGCGGACCCCAGACTGGAATCAAGAGCAAGATATTCAGATTGCCATCTCCCTGATCCTGAAATTCAGAAGCAATATCGCCAACAATCTTCCCAAAATCATCTTCTGTCTTACTTGGTATCATATCGGTGAAGAAGTATGCCTTATTCATTATGTATTGTTCTAAATGTGTCATTTTGATTCATTTATAAGCCTGGAGGCAGATAGCAAATCATAACTTTTTTTGCTGCATTTTGTCACATGAGGCACGCGCGCTGTGAAGAAAAGTTTTGTTTTTTTTGCTGTCTATGCCGCCCCCTAGCGGCTAAGAAAGCAGCACATGCCCTCGAAAAACATCCTTTTATGTGTTTTGTTCCTCTCGAGCACACACATATCGAAATGAAGATGAGGAAGATGAAACAGATGGGTAACGAGGAAGAGGAGGAGGCTGACGACACGTTTCCACACTCAGGAGGAAGAAGAGACATCAAATGTAACCCCAGGGGAAGAAGAAGAAAAGCAAGACGAGAACAAATGACGTCCTAGATACCTTCAACTTTTTTTTTTCTGCATTTTGACGAGCAACCTCCTGACCCTCTTGAGGATGACTCACCGCATGCGTGAAGGGTGAAGATGACGAGTAGATAAAATGTATCCTCCTCATCACCACACTTTATAGATGAAAAGATGCGAGAACGCTTCTATTTTCTCGCCATTAAAGAGCCAAGACGTGAGCTTCAAGGTTTAATTTGCATATCAAACATCAAAGAAATGATCAAGTCCAACATTTTAATTGCAACTTTTCCCACTTGGCCGTTGCATTTTTAATGTGCTTTCCTGCTTACTTGCGCGTACGAAATGCGCACCTGCATCCAAAAGCTGACATGCGCAAGTTTGCCCCCACCGAACGATCATCGCGAAGTGGACCGCAGCCTCGCAGCTGGTGCGCACCGGCCGAGGGAGCTCCGCGGCCGGCCGCGCTCGCCGCGTTTCCCCGGTCCACCACGGGAGGGCAAAGAAAGCGAGGAAAAGTGCGGAGATGAAAGCGGCCAGCGTGCTCACCTTGCGCTAGAGTCCCTGCACACAACATCAACCAGAGTGCAAGCAAACAAATCCATACGCTTCTGCTCCGAGGTGCATTCATCTTGATGACAGTGGGAAGAAGATAGTGCGGAGGCTTCATCCTTTTGGCTTCTTCTTCCTCCTCTCTCCTGGTGGTGCAAGCGCGCTCTGAAGGAGGAGATGTGAGGGACAGTCAGGGAGCGGAGAGGGGGGGGCGAGAGAGAGAGAGAGCGAGAGAGAGAAAATGCAGAAAAGAGCTAATGAAAATGTGAAAAAGGAGAGAATGAAGGTGGGAGAGGCACCTCAGACAGCGAGTGGGAGAAGAAAACTGGGTGAGAAAGGTGAAGGAAGACAGGTGGAGAGAATAAGGGAAGGAAGGAAGGAAAAAAAGACAGGGAGAGAAGGTAAGAGCAGGTAGGTGAGAGTGAATGGGGGTAGGATGGGGCAAAGAGGGAAGGGAATGTGGGAGTGAAGGAAGGAAGGTGGGAGAGAGAGACAGAGAGCAGGATGAGGGGAGAGGGATGTAAGAAGGTGGGAATAAGGGAGGGAGAGAAAGGGAGGGTACGAAGTTGGGAAGAATGGAGGTTGGAGAGAGGAAGGAACGAAGGAAGGAGGGTGTCTGACAAGGAAGGAAGGAAGGAAATAAACAAAGTGCCAATAAGAAGGCGGGAAGAAGGATGGTGGGGAGTGTCAGGTAAGGTTGTCCACCAATTTGTAAGGGGGCGGTTTCAAGTAATTTGGGCCATTTTCAGGGATCCTTTGAAAATCTTACTCCTTGAAATTAAAAAAAAAAAGAAGAAATTTATTTGTGCATGCAAATACTTCATGTGTTTTTTTTTCTACTTTCTTCCCTTCAAATTGAATTGAATCGAATTTCTCCATTGTGAGACAAATAAAGGTTTCTTATCTTATTTTGTCCAATTGCTACCAAATTGGACCCACGTATACAAGAGAGATGGAGCGCACTTAATTGTTACATTTTAGGTGCATCCGATAATAAAATAAATTACATTCAAACAACCAACCCTGAACAGCCGGCAAACAGGAATGCATTCGATGGTGAGCCTCTCCAGACATTTTCATGCTAAATCCAATTTCCTTTAGCATCTGTTTGGTCGAATTAAGGCTTTAAAGTCCCCTTCTGCTTTTAGAAGAACAAACAGCTGAAAGTCAAACCAAAGACGTTTGTTTGTTTGTTTGTGTGGTGGGGGAAAGAATCAAAAAAAAGATTATTCTGCACCCCAGCTGAGAAATATTTGTGCACAGACTATCTGATTGCAAAAAAAAAGGTATCGCTTCCATCTTCGCAGACAGTCAAGAGTGTGAATGTGTCCGAAGGGGTCGACGAAGATGCTCGGATTTATCTGAGCTGACGCGTCCGCAGGCTCCAAAGTGGACCACGCGTCTCCGCCGCGATAAGCCGTCAATGTTTTATCCACGCCACGCTATTAGCATTTTATCTGGGATCAGACGCCGCTAAGACCGTTTTTGTCCATCCGAAAATCCCTCTGTGTGCAAATTTGTCCTTTTATGTAACTGGAAGAACAACTGCGGATACTTTCTGCTCGGGATAATGATTCCGAGGATGAGTCAATAGAACAAGGGACTTGCATGCTTTGTTTTGGTCTGAACAAAGTTGCTTCACACACAATTTTCTGGGTCGGTTGTCAAACTTTTTAAAACGCTCCACGCAATGACCTGAATTAAAATATTTCATAATTTAACATCGCCCATCTGTCTTCTATAGAAAGTTCCGATTTGGTGGTACGACAATATGACGACACCTCAATCAAAGGTCTGGCATTCAGGGCCCCAGGAAATGGCTACAATAATTTGCTTCAAACCAGAATGTTAGACATGCCTTTTTTTGGCTCTGGCTTTCTTAGACTTTTTTTTTTGTGGGTCTTCTCATGATAGAAATGTCGATCAAATTTTATATTTTTGTGTAAAAACTGGCTTTGAGGACTGGATTTTTCAATTTCAATTTTTGGCGCGTAAAAAGTCCAGATTTCGGTTGTCTTTGACGGCATGGTTTCTTCAGACCTTTTTGTGGTTCAACTCATTATAGACATGCCTACCAAATTTCAGTTTGCTCAGTTAAACTGGCTGCAGGGGCTGAAATTTCCCCATTTCCGAGGATTTATGCAAAAAAATGGTACATCTCAAATGTTTGAATTTCCAAAATCGCATCGGTACAAATTCTGTCAGCAAGTGACAGCTAGGTATTTTATTGCTCCACTTTACTGTTAAATAGCTTTGGAAAAAAAATATTTGTCCCTAAAATGCACTTGATATGTCGTCTTTGTTTTGTGACCTGTCAAGAGACTCCAAATGCAAATTAGCGGTATGCTACACATTACATTTACGCAGGTAGTGGTCACCAATGTGCATTATCCTTTTCAAAGCGTAAAATGGAAAAAAAATATCCATCTGTCCATCCATCTACTGTATCTATCTAGCTAACTAGCCAGCTAGCTAGCTAGATGTCTAGCTAGCTAGCTAGCTAGCTATCGATCAGAATTGTGCATCTCTCCACAAAAGATGATTGGATCCATTTACAAATGATAAATTCTTATTTTGTTTTCATTCTGGAAGCCCGACCTATCTCTCCGACACATCCCAGCTGTCAGACAGTCTATCCGTTGGCTTGACAGTGTGTGTCCACCATCTCCCATCAGTCGCTCGCTTCTCATGTGTGCCCATCACTTTCCTCCCAGCCGGGTGACTTGCCGTCACAGGTGATGAGCGCCTCATCCCCTTCGCCATCTACAAACATCCATCAACGAGGAAGAGGAGGAGGGGAAGGAGGTCGAGGTGTTGATGTCTTTCACATGCCGGCAACAAAGTCGGATGGTCTGACCTCAATCTGGCGCCATACCAGCAACGTTCCACTTGCATTACAAACAGAATAGGGGGGTTGGGGGTGGGGGTGGATGCATCAACAACCAGGAAATAATTCCATTTGTGTGCAGACCAGCCCTCATTCTTCTTTTTTATCACCAACAAGGAAGTTTCAGATAACTTTTTCCGATATATGGGATGACAGCAGTTTGCAGTGTTTCGACGTTTATCAGAACTGGGTTAATTCTGCGTAGGCAAATTTTCACCAATTTTGCTCCCATTAAACAAAAATTCATTTTGGTGAGACGCTGGCGAAAGATGCAGGTCCGGTCTGAGTGCCAAAGGCACCAGGTGAGGGTATTTCAATATTAATTATCTGTCAGGATTATGCTCAAACTCCTTTTGCAAATTTCTACAAACGAAATCTCATTTTGTGAGACTCTGGATTTAGATCCAGTCTGAGCACTGAGAATTTTTAATGAGCCAGACGTGGGAGGTGACAGAGGGAGGATCTGTGTGTTAGGGTTGGGTCAGCTCCGGTCTTCCTGTGTGGAGTTTGCATGTTCTCCTCGTGCCTGCGTGGGTTTTCTCCGGGTACTCCGGTTTCCTCCCACATTCCAAAAACATGCACGGCGGGTTGATGGAACACTGAATTGTCCCTAGGTGTGAGTGTAAGCGCGGATGGTTGTTCGTCTCGGTGTGCCCTACGATTGGCTGGCAACCGGTTCAGGGTGTCCCTCGCCTACTGCCCGAAGACGGCTGGGATAGGCTCCAGCACGCCCCGTGACCCTTGTGAGGATAAAGCGGATCAGAAAATGGATGGATATAGTATAATGTGTGTATGTAACCAAAATCTTGCATCATCCCCCATTACACACAAGAGGAATCCCAAACCTCTACAGACAAGCAAACATGGAACTACTGGCAGTCACTTTTCCAAAAGAAGCACTTTTCAATTTCCATCCCTATTTGGGATACTGCCAGGTTGACTTCTAGCCTCATTTTGTGTGGATGCCATTCACGTGACACGTGGGAGATATCCTTTTGCCAACTGTCCCACATTTATCAGTTCACATTCACACGGGTGCCCTCCCCCCCTGCCCCCCACCCCGGAGACATCGTTCCTTTTTTCCGCCATGAAAGACAGAATAAAGTGTTTGGACAAAAGCTCCATCGTGACGTTTAAATGCACAACATGTGTTCTTTGTGTGTGATTGTGAAAAGCAGCACAAAGAGAAAATGAGGTCTTTTCGACAGATTAGTGAGGAAGCTTGGTGTCACCTACAAATGGCCTCTGACACTCAAGTTAATTGCTTCTCGTTCTTTTGTGAACACCTGAAAGACGGTTCAACACACCGCACTTTGAACAGAAAGATGCTTTTTCTTTTTTCTTGAACGAATATCACTTTCCTCCTTGAGAACCAAGCCTCTTTCATTTTCAAAAAGTGTAACTATATTCTTACCACACATTACAAGACATCATTCTTTGTATAGCGCTTTCACAATAGCTACAGCTGAAACAAAGCGCTTTACAGAACAGGTAACATAAAATAACAGAATATTTTTTTATCAGATTTTTTTTAAATGTAACTTACTGTAACAATTTTTTACAAAAGTCATTTTTCTATACTATACATTTGTTACTCCGCATATTCACAACGTTCTTTTTTTTTTAATACTTAAATGTTCAAAACGTTTTTATGAATTTAATTTTTCCAAGAAAATTATTTTTTAATAGAAGAATGACTTTTGGGGCCAAAAAAAAACATTTTTTCAATAAAATATTGTTAATGAACAATGACATTTTAATATAAATTATAAGTAAATTGTGATTATTTTATCTTCTTGTCACCTTGTAACAACCTTTGCCCCCATTTTTTCCTTTATTTGAAGTGATCTAAAAAATAGCTTTGTACTTTTATGTAACAAAAAAAGATAAACTACGATTTTTTTTTTTTTGTAATAATCTTTTTCTTATGCTAATATAGTGACAATTAAATAAGAAGCACAGGGTCCCAGACCTGCTTCTTCAAAGAAACCGCGAGCCTCATCTAAGACACAGACAAATCCACATCCACACACAGATGCTCAGAGTATCCCTCTTAACTGTAGCATCAATAAAATGTGTAAAAGTGATTCAAGCAGCACTTTTCTTTGTGGGCCAGCTTCTGTGTGTTAAAAAAAAAAAGAACAAGCTGAGATGCGCTAAAAGAAGAGCAAGAGGCTTGTGATTTCGAGTAGCTTCCTACAAGAAGTCAACTTTCCCGTAAGACGGCATTATGATGACCCGCTCGCAATTTCCAACTTTCGTTTTGGTGACAGATAACGTTCAAATGTTTACTGCCCGGGA